CGGGAGCCCGACGTGGGATTCGATCCCGGGTCTCCAGGATCGCGCCCTGGGCCAAAGGCAGGCGCCAAACCGCTGCGCCACCCAGGGATCCCCGAACGTCCATTTTTTTAAAACTGGTTTTCCCAAACATTTGTGGAGTATTTTTATATCCTTAAGATAGGTTATTGATTTTTGCTTTAAAAACTTAAATGAATTAACCTATGTAGCTTTTGTAATTACCTATATATTTTTACTAAATGTTTCAAAATTTGCAATATTTTATGAATGATAAACTGTACATATATATGAGATATATATTATATATATATCTCATATATATATATATATATATATATATATATATATATATATAATTTTTTTCCTTGAGAGAGAGAGAGAAGGGGGGGGGAAGGGGAAGGGCAAAGGGAGAGGGAGAGAGAATCTTAAGCAGGCTCCCTCAGCGTGGAGCCCAACACAGGGCTAACCTCACTACCCTGAGATCATGACCTGAGCCAAAATCAAGAGTCAGTCACTTAACCAACTGAGCCACTCAAGTGCCCCGAACTTATGTTTTTATTTTGTAATTTTGAGAATACTTTGAGGACTGTTTAGTACTTAGTTTGAAGACTTTGAGTTTTACAAAATTTTATTGAAGTTTAAACTGCAAAAGACCATAGTCATAAAAAAGAAAAGAAGAAAAGAAAAAAATAGGACACCAAACTAGGTGCAAATAGATAGAAGAGGGGCTTTTAGACAATGTGGCTTTAAATGCACTAGCTCAGCAGGGCTTTCCCTTCCAGGCTGAGCTCCCTACTTCGCGTCTAAAGCTGTTATCACAGTGAGGTAACTGGAGTACTCTGAAACTTCCACAAGTGTCTGCATCTTCCTCCTGCCCTTGCTGGAGGAGCCCAGCCCTACCTTTCTCTTCTGGGGCTCACCACGTGGATTCCCCAGGATATCACGCACTCAACAGCGCCATCTGCCCACGAGGCCTGACATGACATCATCTTCTGGCCTCCAGAATTAATTGCTCTTTTGGTGCGTCATAGTATTTCTGTTCATATCCTGATTATTGTATTTAGTAGACTTGATTATAGCCTTTTAGGTATATATGTGTATATATACACATATATATGGTGTATATGTGGTCCCTACACCCATCAGAGATGGTCCTCCTTTGAATAAAGTCTTCTTTGCCATCTTGCCAAGTGTCATTGAATACTTTTATTATTTTTTATTTATTTTTATGGTACTGGTAGTCCTTGTGGCTGCTCAGCCCTGGCCACCACCAACCACTACAGGCTGTCTCACTGCCCACGACTAACCCAGAGGGACTAGAATTCTCTATATTAATCTCTAGCCCTAAATTCTCTTTTCTTTAGTCACTAGGCCTCAGTGAAATGGGATTTAAAGGAAAATTCAGTGCTTTCTTCATTATGCCTCAGTGATTCCCAAACTCACAGAAATTTGCAGCTGAATGTGGCACATCAGAAAATGCTCTTTACAAAGGCTTTTTGAATGAAAAAGGCACAGGTCTGATCATTCTAAAGTATTCCTCTTTGGCCATCCTGCAAGTTCTTTTGGGCAGAGACCGACTTTCATATATTAATGTGTTATATGATGGTGGATGAATGCTTATGTTTTTGGATTAGGCATGTAGAAAATGGTCAAGGTCTGATAATCAACCACTTGCCGGTTACTTGGGCCAGTCTACCTTTTGCCTATGGTGAAGTAACTAAACCAGGATTTCTAGAGGGGGCAGCAAGGAGGTCACCTCTACTCCTTGCCTGTCCCTCCCTGCCTGTCCGTACCTTCTTCCTTCTCCACCTCCCCGTTGATTGGAAGGAATGCTTTTGGGGGTAGGTTGGCACAGTGGTCTTTCGCAGCACAGTGGTCTTTCGCAGTAAATAAGAGTCCTGTTAGGTTTTGAATTTATCCACTATGATATATACAGAAAGAGGAATTCATAAAATTATATTGTTATTTATTGTTAATTTTTATAAAATCCTTATTTGGCTAATTCTGCTGTCCTCAAATCCTTCAGTTCAGGCTTTACTTATGTCCTAGTTGGCTCACTATAGCCATTTCTTGGCAGACCTCTTTCATCCATCCATCCATCCATCCATCCATCCATCCATCCGTTATTCTGTGAATTTCTAATGTATCAGAAATTCAGATTTTTCTCATTCCTTTAAGTACCTTGTAAGAAATAGCATAAAGTAATTTCCCAGGCTGTCCCATGTGCTTCGGCCTCCCCTGTTGTTCTACCATTAAAAGAATAAATTGTCCATGTACCCCCACAGTACACCTGGCAATCTTAAGGCATGTCTGGGATAGCTTGGTATAAATCTGGCTTGAATACTGACTGAAACCAAAGGTAACAGCATCTCATTTCTGCTGCTTTTGGCTTCTTAGAGGAAAAGCTACATAGCCGAACTGGTCACAGGAAATAAGCATAATTCCAGTTGCAACCTCCACACAAGCTCCTCGTCAGGGTACTTTATATAGTTCTCACTGGTACCCTATGCAGATCTCAAATCACTAATCAACTTAATAACGACAATGTTACAATATTAACTACCAGTATTCATTAGCTAACAACATGTCTGATGTTATGCTGGGTGTTGCAAATTCTTTCTGTTAATCCTCACGAGTGTTTACTGTCTCCATCTTCAGCTGTGGAAATTGAGTGCTGCCATTAGTGCACAGGATTCACATTCAGGACCATGGCTCACCAAGGTCATTGTTATGCTGTTTTCTTCCAACACCACTCCCGGTGCCCCTCTGTATCCCTGACAATGCGTCATCAGCAACTTGCTCTCTTTCTAAGGCACCAGTGAAGAAACCCATCTCCACAGCAGCACACCTCAGTTCTCCCCTGCCTCAACTTGGCTCCCTAACACTGACCTTTTCATGCTATTGGATGGGTCTCTAAGCAGACTCTTAGCTCTCCGAAGGAGGGAAGGAGGGAGAAGACGATTGGACCCTCATGTCTGTTATGCTTTCCAAGTTCTCTTGTACTCATCCCTGTTCATTGCTTTCAATTGTCTAAAGAAATTGGTCTCCTGATCCTAACTGGCAGACACCTCCTGGTTCCTCCTCCATTCTGAGGTGGTGGTTTTCAGGGGAAGAGGCAATATCTTACTAACATTTAGAAGGTCTTTGATTTCTTACGGGGTCCTCAGGGCTTTCTTAGCTGCTCCTGTTTGGAGGAAAGCACTCCCAGACTTAGTGCCTAAGGGTGATCTGTCTTTTTAATGATCCTGTTTACTGATCCTGTTTACTGAGGTGATTTTCTTAAAGTTGCTCAAAGTTCTGCTCAGTCAAAGAAATGTGTCTCCCAACTGAGCCTCTTTGCATTTTGCCCAAGGCTTTTTCCCTCTGCCTTCTTTGTTAGAAAAAAGCCAGAGAGGATGTTAAAGATTCACTTCACCAATTCATGGCCAATTAGGAAGCTTTGTTTTAGTGTATGTTCTCACTCATTTGGGGAATATGAATAATAGTGAAGGGGAATATAAGGGAAGGGAGAAGAAATGTGTGGGAGATATCAGAAAGGGAGACAGAACATAAAGACTTCTAACTCTGGGAAATGAACTAGGGGTGGTGGAAGGGGAGGGGGGCAGGGGGTGGGGGTGAGTGGGTGATGGGCATGGAGAGGGACACTTGACGGGATGAGCACTGGGTGTTATTCTGTATGTTGGTAAATTGAACACCAATAAAAATTAATTTATTAAAAAAAAAAAAAGGAAGCTTTGTTTTAACCTGACTAGAAGGTCCCATTGGCCTTCTAGTTTGGATTTGGAACCTTGCCCCTCCACACTCTGGGGGATTTAAAAATCTTCCTTTGATTGGTTAGAAAACAGAATTTTGAAAGTAATGACGGCAACAGTTCCTAATTTGGGCATAGCTGGTTACAATGGTACACCCAGTATCTTTTATTATAAGAATGGATATTTGCTTTCTATTATATAGATTTGGGCTAACCTCCATTATCTTTTATATATATACATATTTTTGGAGTTCAATTTGCCAACATATAGTCTAACACCCAGTGCTCATCCCGCCAAATGCCCCCCTCAGTGCCCGTCACCCAGTCACCCCTACCCCCCGCTCACCTCCCCTTCCACTACCCCTTGTTTGTTTCCCAGAGTTAGGTGTCTCTCATGTTTTGACAACCTCACTGATACTTTCACTCAGTTTCTCTCCTTTCCCTTTCACTATTTTTTATATTCCCCAAATGAATGAGACCATATAATGTCTTCCCTCTCCAATTGACTTATTTCACTCAGCATAATACCCTCCAGTTCCATCCATGTTGAAGCAAATGATGTAACCCCCATTATCTTTTATAAGAGTTCTTCACATCAACACTTCTCTGTTTTAACCTGTACACGGAGGCTGATCTGTAGTGTACAAATGGTAAGATATTATTTTCTTCTTTCATTGGTGGTGGTGCAGTGCCTTTTTTTGAAGCTTGGATTTTGGTCTAATGATTATTTTTCTTTCCTCAGGATGCTGTTTCAGTTTCATCCTGAATTGGGTTATTAGGAGGCACTTCTGATAGTTAACTATGACTGGAAAGTTTCTTAGGTAGAAACCCTCCAGGTTGTTGCAGTTTGCTAAGAAAGTGCTTCTGACTTCTAGCAGAATGCAAATTGGTTTGGCTGTGGGAAATGTTAAAAAAACAAAACAAAACAAAACAAAACAAAAAAACAAAAACAAAACCGGCAACAAAAACAATCTCTTAAGGCACAGCAAAAGTTGTGTCCTGAGGGGGAAATTAAAACTCCCAGATTGTGAAGCATGAGGTGTGCTTCTCTGCTTTTTTGATGTAGGAAAACATTAACTTGTATGTTTTAGGACACTACCTTTCTAATAAGGTGATCTATTAGCTTCCAATAGATTGTTATTTAACAAGTGTGATTTTAATTTGATTTTTGTGGTCTCAAAGTTGAACAGTTTGCTAACCAAACAAACAAAAACAAAAAACTCCCACAATTTTCTTGGTTGGATTATTTTACCTGTTTCAATGTCGAGAGAGTAGCTGTCTATCTCCAGGTCAAGTTGTTGGGCTGCAGCAGAACGAAAATCCTCCAAGACCCCCTTCACAGCCTTGGTGAGGTTATATGGTACTGACTTAGCAAACCTCATTTTGCTATTCACGATCACACTCCCATTTCTGAAGTTAAGTATTTCAAGTTGCTTAAATCCTGTGAGATTGGAGCGCAGATATGGAACCAGCTGCAAAATGAAAGATGGTTTACCCTTAACTGTGTTCTAAGTTCTCAGTGACTGCTAATTCCATTTATATTCACTTCTCATTATCTGAGGCATACATTTCAGTTCCTTTTTGATTGTTTTTATTTTTATGTTTGGATTTAATGTGAGACCAGAACATGACTATTTAATGATCTATTTGCAGTGATTATGTCTCATATTCTCACCTCTCTATGTGTATTGAGATGGATGGGCAGTGATTTTCTTCATGATGGATTGGGAGAACAGAGGATTTTTAAAAATCTAGGCCAATGTTATCAGCAAAGCAGGAATGCCAGGTTCAGTTATTAAAAAAAAAATCCAAGCAAATAAAAATATGTTTCAAACTGAGCCCAGGAGCTGATTGACCTATGCCTGTATAAATGGGACATCTATTTGGAAGCAACCAATTGGAATGACCTATTGAAATAACAGCTTACACATCAGCTTGTCTGTCTATGCAGGACATGTTTCATGGTCAATGCATATGCCGTGTAGTGGAAACAGCAGGGAACTGGCAGTCAGAAGACTTGGGTGTCAGTCCTGGAACTGTCGCCAGCTAGCTGAGTGACCTTCATCAAACCACTTATCCATTGTACTGTACCTTAGTGCCCTTATCTGAACTGTGAGGAAGAAGAAAAAGTGGTTCCCTAAGCACCTTTGCCAAATTGTGATTTAATAATCTCAAAAGTATGCCCAAGGGAATTGTGCTTCCAATTCCCACACCTGCTTATTGTGAGCCACAGCCACCCCTGAGATCACTTTTCAGAAATGTCTGAAACTCAGCAGTGTCTGCCTTGTCCTTGGCCCTGAAAGCTAATCCCCTCTTTAATGAACTGATGCCTACAAACACAGAGAGTACACACATGCAAGCTAAAATCTCCCAGGCTTAGCCTAGATCTACTTTTTCTTATCCCTGTTTTCTGCCCCACCAGAATTTTGACTCTAACCTTGCCCACATTCCAGTAGCCATTCACCCCTCCCATAGGTTATTGTAAAAATAAAATGAAATTTTATACCAAGTGTGGAACTTCTTTTTTTTCCAGGCTATTCTCAGTATTCTCCTATTTACATTAACTGAGCTCATTTTTTTGTGTGTTAGCACCGCATTGGTTTCTGGTGGGAATTCCCTGTCTCTCTCTAGTATGCAGATGACTAGTGGCCTCCTTCTCCCAAATCCATTTTCTTCTTCACAGGAAAGAGGTTGCCTCCCTAGAAACCACATTTCTCAGCTTCCCTTGCAGCAAGGTGTGGCCATGTGCTAGTTGCCATCAATAAAATGTGAGTGGAAGATAACGCAGGCAACTTTGGTATCACTTTCTTAGGAAACTGCTTGTCTATCATTCCGCTTCTCACAAGTGGAAACAGGGATTTACCAGTGACTCAGCTTTGTGTGAATGAAGAAACACCACTGGGATTGTCAGGGTTATAAGACAGAGGAAATGCGAGTCCCTGGATGACACTGTAGAGCAGAATTGCCCTACCCTTCAAATTAAAGAGAAATAAACTTGTATCTTATTATTAAAAAAAAAGATTTATTTAATCACAAGAGGCAGAGAGAGAGAAACATAGGCAGAGGGAGGAGAAGCAGGCTCCATGCAAGGAGCCTGATGTGAGACTCTATCCTGGAACTCCAGGATCATGCTCTGAGCCGAAGGTAGGTGCTCAACTGCTGAGCCCACCCAGGCATCCCAACTTGTATCTTATTTAAGTTACTGTATTCTTTTTTTTTAAATATAGTTGACATGCTTGTTATATTAGTTTCAGGTGTACAACACAGTGATTCAACAAGTCTATATGTTACCCTATGCTCACCACAAGTGTAGCTACCATTTGTTACAATACTTAAGTTACTATATTTTTGATCTCTTCATTATGGAAGCTTAGCACATACCCTAATTAATACACCTGAGTTAGGTACACTGGGACTCTGTTCCCTGAGATTGTCCCCATATCTACTCCTCATCTCATTGGGCTTGGGGTAGGGTAGGGAGGCTGAACAAAGTCTTCCTTTAAAGCTTACTCAGTTAGTTGAGCCTCTGCCTTTGGCTCAGGGCATGATCCTGGAGTCAAGGGATTGAGTCCCACATTGGGCTCCCTGCATGGAGCCTGCTGCTCCCTCTGCCTGTGTTTCTGCCTCTCTCTCTGTGTCTGTCATGAATAAATAAATAAAATATTAAAAAAAATAAAGCTCACTTGAAGATGTGGTTTTAATTTGCATAATGATTTGACTTACATGAAGCTTACAGATATTTTTCTGTTATTTTCAGAAATTCTACAATTTTTGCATTGTATACTTGACCTTGTTTCTGACTTTCTGGTTTTGAATCCTTCCATGTTATGGCAAGAAAACAGCCTGTGGCATTATAACTTTGGAAAAGTTTGCTCATATTCCTTTTAAATTCCACGTTCAGTACTTGAGTGGCTATGTATTATTCCTTGGAAAACTAAATTAGGAAGAAGTATAATGAAAAGATCTTAAGGAAAAGATCTCATGAGGCTGGGTGGTAGTGTCTGCCTGAAGTGTCCACCGCAGAATTTAACTTGCTTATTGGATCTGAATCCATCCCCATACTTTAGCTGAATGCCTTCAGTAATAGCTGTGTCAGAGGCTTTTCTCTTCCAACATTCATTGCTCAAGACAGCCAGTGATTATACTATAAAGGAACAACAACAAAAGAAAGGACATGCAGGGAAATGGAAGCAGCGCTTACTCACCAGCTGTGTGAATTGCTGTTCCAGAGCTTGGTACTCTAGAGAGCTCTTGTTGAACAAGTTGTTGGAGAAGGGCATGTTAGCGACTCGCAGACTGAAGAACACGACCAGTTCTTGGCCCTTGGTGGCAGTGGTCATAGAGCTAGTGGTGAGGTACTGTAAAGCTGGAGTAGGAGTGGTGTTCTCCAAGAAAAGACCTGGGGTAGAAACATACCCACTCAGTCTTGGTACCTCAGAGGAGGCAGGAGTGTTAGTTAGATCCATTATGTCTAAGTCTCTCACTATATCTTGGCTGCCTAAAGATGCAGTTGAACGTGAAATTTCCAGAGCTGATTGGCTGATGGAAGAATAGTCATCTGAGGGGATGGTTCGTCCTGGGATTAGTACTGTCTGGTCAACGGGCATTATGTCTGTGGCACTTTGACCAGTCAGAGAGAAGATGCTTGATGCAGTGAAGAAAGGTAGAGTGTCTGATAGCGAAGCAGAGGCCTTAGCAGGTGGAGACCAAGAACTGTCTGTGGAAAAAGCTTCTGAGTCCAATTCATTATGTTCAAGCATTTCCCCCAAAGAATGGAAAGCAAAAAAGGAAATCCAAAGTTAGACTTAACTTAATTGCATTGATTGTTTTAATGTCATATTTTTAAAGAAGGAATTCGTATAGAAAGAATAGGCAGCCCTGTGTCCAAACCTGGGGAGAGAGAGGGTGGATTTCTGTACTCAATTAATTCAGGGCTAAATAGTTCCAGATATAGGAGCCTAAAAGATGACCGGTAACCTAAAATTTCTGCTTAGCCAGAAACAACACACCTAGGGACCAGCTGGTAAAAACTGACTAGGTCACCAGGTGGTGCCAAAACACAGATGGCATTAGAATAGATTTGGATCCCACATTACCATCTGGAACTCCTAACCAATTAGCTATGCAGTGTGGGTCCAGAAATTTTATTCACCTTCCAATCATGCAAGCATGCATCTTATGCATTTGATTTTTGGATCCGAGTTATTCCATTTTGGTAGCTTTACCACTTAAAATTTAAATTATGCTTTTCCAAAATTAGATAATCTGACTGAATAACTTGCTGATTTGCAAAATAGTTTGGAGAAGGTAAAGATGTAGGTGATACATAAAACTTGAGCTTTATGTTGGCCATACAGCTTGTTAAATTGATAGCATTTAAAGTTTTGTTGTTTTTTTCACTTTTACATGAGTATACCTTGATAATTTCTACCAGTACTTTGCATTTCTTCCTTGGGTAGGAACACATTGATCTACTAAAATCTATCCTCTTTTTGGTACAAAATTAAAATCAGTAAGTATTTATGAACTAAGAAAGTGGCTATATGAAACTTTCAGATAAAGAGATTGGTGGGTTATTAAAATATTCCAATAAACCTAAATCCAGAGCCACTGACAATATTTAAGGCATTAGGTAGATCAAAACAAGGAGCTTTCTGTGATTACTTCAGTGGCATTTTGGCAAATATGTGGGAAAGCTGTGTTGAAATCCAAATGCTAAGCATGATGAATGGACTGTCTGGATGCAGATATAATCTTTGGACTCTCAGCTAATTTACTAGAGTGCAATCACCCAAACTGAAACTCCAAGTGATAAACGGCTCTGAAAGGTGGAATCATATTACTTTTATTAGTTTCTTAAAATAAAACCTGCCTGTTGGTGAACTGTACCCAGATTTCAGAAAAGTACCCTCTTTTCTCTCACCTAGGGAGAATGCCTAGGCATGTTTGCCCATACTTATTCAACTGTCAGAAATGATGATTTCTAACATCCAGGATCTCTCTGGATATACACCTGTAGTTTTATTCAAGCCTTCATTGCCATAGACTGATGTTTGTATCTCCCCCAAATGCATATTTGAAGCCCTAATCTTCAATGTGACAGTATTTGGAGGTGGGTCTTTGGGAGGTAATTAGGTCATGAGGGTGGGTCCATCAAGAATGCAATTAATGCTCTTATAAAAGGAGACACAAAGAGATGATCTCTCTCTGTTACATGAGGCTATGGCAAGAAGGCAGCCTTCCGCAAAGCAGAAAGAAGTACCTCACCAGGAACCAGATCAGCTGGCAGCCTGATCTTGGGGTTCCCAGCCTCCAAAACTGTGAAAAATAAATTCTTGTATAAGTCCCTCAGTTTCCTTTGTTGCAGCAGCCTGAGCTGACTATGACATCCATAGAAAGATCTGGGACGAATAAATGAAAGGCTACAAGTACTATCAGTGATTTGATTTGACTTCTTTGTGTCATGGGGAAATGCATATGAACTTGTGTTGCTATGATGTGGTCTTTCTGCTCCTCTAGATGATAAGGGTCTAGAAAGAAGCCCAATGACAGATATCTTCATTCTGTTCCTGGGCCAGTATCTTATTACTCACGCTTTTGTTACTAGATAGACTTAAGCCAGATTAAAATAGTCTGCTGCCTTAATGTCATCAACCAATACAAGTGAATTTCTAATCCTTTCCCTTTGTAACATCTTAACAGTAATCTTTTACATTCAAAATAAACCTAAGCAAGTTCTTTCACTTGATAGAACAGTTGGCTATTTAAATGTAGGGTTGCTAGATAAAGTGCAGGATTCTCATTGGAAAATACACTAAAAAATTATTTGTTGTTTATCTGAAATTAAAATTTAGCTGGGGATCTTGTATTTCTCTTTGCCGAATCTGGCAGTCCTATTTAAGTGCGGTTGTATAAGGCTCCCTCTATTCTCTCTTAGCTTGAGATTGAAACTATTAAGGCTCTGGCTAATTCTTTTGAAATAAAAATATTGTCAAACCTCATAACCACTTATAAATGGGTTTTAAACAATTATGTTTTCATTTGATTCTTATATAAAAATTAGACATGGCAATGACACAGGCCATTTCAACATTAAGTTTTTTACACTGCAACAGAGAAGTCAAGCACTAAAAGCCAAGGCTATTTATTTTATCATGAGGTATGCAACATAAGTAGACTGAAAATAACTTGACATTTAGCTGTTATGCTACAGTGCATGTATAGTTCCTGTGAGGGTGTGGGGTGTGTTTTTATGTCAGTGTGCCTGGTGGGGGTGCTGGTTAGAATTTCAGCAGCTGGGTATAGAGGAAATGGCTAGTTTGGTCACTTTCTGGGCAGCAGACCTGTCCAAAAGTAAAGGCCACAGATAAAATGGTCCAAACCAAAATATACGAACTCAGGTTTAGCAGAAACCCACAGTGAGAGATGCAGGTAATGGGTGAAGATGGGCACAGTGAGGGTAGCCAGGAGTCCTACTAGTAGCCAAAGGAAGGCAAAGCAGATGATGAGCAAGGTGTGAGGGACAAGTACAGTTGAAAGAATATTTTAAATGCTTCTAGAAAAAGATACACATGCCATAAACATCGAGTGGCCATCTATTTTATGTTTAAAAATCTAAAAAGAGATTCCACAATCTCTTTTAGATATTCAAGTGGCATCAACAACACTTTCTTTTTTTAAGATTTTATTTATTTCTTTGATGGGGGAGAGAGAGAGAGAGAGAGAGAGAGAGAGAGAGAGAGAGAGAAGGTACAAGCAAGGGGAGAAGCAGGAAGGAAGAGTGGGAGAAGCAGATTCCCTGCTGAGCAGAGCACTGGCCACCGTGGAGCTCGATCCCAGGATCCTGGGATCATGACCTGGGACCATGACTGAGCCATCCAAGTGTCTCAACAAATTCTTAATTCTATATCAAACAAATCCATTCTTATTTATCATAACAAGAAAATTATTCCCTTCCTTTTTGGCATAGTATAGGGATAGGAAATAAGTATTTATTATACATTCATTCAACAGATAAATATTGATAGTCTGCTATGTGTCAGGCATTGTTCCAGGTACTGGAATACATCAGTGAACAAAACAGACGGAAGTTCTGGCCTCGAGGAACTTATTGTCTCCTGGAGGAAGACAGGAAGTAAACAAACAATGGGAATGTATAGTATACCAAGTTGTGGTAAGTGCTATAGAAATTAAGTGGGAAATGGTGTGAGAATGTTGGGTTGGCAATTTATATAGAGTGGTCACTGAGAATATAATATTTGAGCAGGACCTGAAGGGGTAAGAGAGTTTAGCCATGCAGCAAATGCAAATGAGAAAGCCAAAGGAAAAAGGGTGTCTTTAATGTTTCAGTAACAGCTGGCTGGGAGGGCAGCATGGCTAGAATGGAGTTCTATACTATCCATCAACTGTGAGGGTGACCAAAGATATTTTCAAATACTCGAAGTCTCAAAAAACCCCTCCTAGTCACCCTTTCCTAAGATGTTTTCACATAAAATGATGGTAAGCCAAGTAGAAAGAAATGGGATACTGAAAATTACTTAGGGAAATTCTCTGAAAGGTGGTAATAATGGGGTCTTACGGGGAGATAGGTACCACCGATGTCTCAAGAGACAAGTATATGGAATACTTGTATAACCAAACCCTCTCCATTGTGGCAAATTATTTACCTTGACAAAACTGCTGGAAAACGTGCTCTACAATATAAGAGAGTAAACCTAGAGAGAGAAAGCCTGAGATCTAGGGACCAGGGAATCCAACCCAGTAGGAAGGCCAAGGAAATTCTAAAGATGATAGCAAAGGAGAGTCCCAGGTGACAGCTGTTAAAAGGCTTAGAGAGTAGCAATCTAGAAAGAAAGAGAAGAAGGTCTCTCAAAATTGGAAGTGATAAGTTACCTGATGAGGAAAAATATGTTGGAAAATTCATTGGAAAGTTAGGGAATAGTTGACATTAAATACAAAGAAAACTAAGCAAATAAAAAAAATCAAAGAAAACATCAACTCTAAGAAAACAGAAAGGAAACAGAGCAAACAGGTCAGTTGTGAATATATAATATAAATGCTGAATATTGATTTAATTATAGTTATCATCTTTGAGAAGATTAGGTGGAATCAGAAGAATGGTTTTGTGGGAAACTTAACATTTATTTACAATAATAGAAAGACAATAAATGATATATAAAACTGATGACTCAAAAGATACATATTATTTAAAATTATAGGAAGAGTAAATACCAGAAGAAATAGCCAATTGAGGTAAGAGACTAGTTTTGGTAAGTGGGACTACACAGTGGGGAGGTGTGAGACAGGGAAAATGCTTAATTTGTCTGACTTGACTTAAAAAAATTAAGTGCTTTATTTTGGGATAATTGTATATTTAAATGTAGTTCTAAGGAATAAAAGAGTGACATTGGTAAAATGGCAGAGTAAGAAACGCCAAAAGTCAAGTTGTCCTTTACATTCTAAAGTTACAGCCAGTAAGTAGTTGTGATATAATAAGAAATCTATATTTGGTCTCTGCCTCCAGTTCCTAACACAGAACTCCTAAGTCCCTTATAATTTCCTGGGTGATAGGAGCATCTTTTGTTCTAGTGAGGTGATTCCTGGTGGGTTCCTATATAGCTGCACCTTTATAGCCTTTGATAAACATCTTCCCATTTCCCCCACCTCCTGGCTCCTGGTAACTACCATTATGCTCTCTGTGTCTAGGTATTTGAATTT